AAAGAAATAGGCGCTCTCTCTCTCTCTCTCTCTCTCTCTCTCTCTCTGTTTGACCGATAATTGTTGACCTAGCGTGATGGTTGCGCGTACAAATCACTATTTCAACAATATTTTTACACTCTGCCCACGCTAATCCGTGCATCGTGTCTCAAAATTGAATATAATCCAATCGTAAAAATTTTGCGTTCTTTCACTCCTGCGGCACGCAAATTATCTCAAGCATATACAAATACGGTGCGCTTTTTGCACAACAGCCTGCTTATTAAAAAAGCACAATATAAATATAACTGTGTAACTTTCAAACAACAAAACAACGATAGAGATTTGTAACAGAGTTCGTTCGCGTATTATAAAACACGCGAAGTATAGAAAGGCGCGCGAGTGCGCGTACGGCTTTATATATATGTATGTAGCCGTTACATTTCCAATCGAAAATGTAACATCCCAGCGGCACGTTAAACGCAATCTCAGAATTTGAATGAATAATTGAAGACCGAGAAAGCACCCGAGGTACTTGTTATCAGTGGAACAAATTAAAGCGTTAGGGGAGGTAAGGTTGAGAGAGAACAACTAGTAGTCGACCGCTGCGGGATTGCCTTTCAGAGAGACCAACATAGGCGCAGCTAGCGAGAACTCGGCTAACAACATAATTCAATACGGGGCTACTACCTAAACGTGTTTCCGCTATCCGCCATGCTCGAGGACTTACATTTCCTGCATTTCCACTATGTGATTTCCGTGACCACCATGAAGGGGAGAACTGATGCGCGCCATACCGTGTCCAAAGCGTAGCGACGATACATCGGCTTTTTTTACTCGATTGAAGACTTTTTTTTCCTACCTCCGTCTTCTCGGCATTTGTTCGCACGAGCCTTTTTTGCGTCGTCGAACGGGCGATTAACGTCGGATCCTTCAATCGTGGCCATATGTGGCCCACCAAGACGTAATAACAACATCCGCGCGAAACGGTGAAGTTTATACTTGGATATATAATGACTTCGATTTTATCATAATGCAATCAGAGCAACCTCGCACGGATATTTTAAAGACTTAAGACTCAGACACAACGAGAGGAGTAAGAAACAAATTAAATATAGGAAATTAAGAATAGGGAATTAGAAATATATGGGAAACCGTGCTTTAATACACAATCAAAGTGTTCTTTTTTTTTTGGTCGAAAATAAATTTTCGCTTTCCAATATTTCTACTTAATTTTTATATTTAATTTCTTATCTTTCTTATTCTTGCTTATGATACATGAGCTCTTGCGGAAAGACAAGAAATTCCGAAAAACAACACAGCAGATATCTGTTTTCGAACATCGAAACGTTGCGTAGTAAATCGCTGCGCGAAACAATGGGGAATAAATCGAACGACGAGTCGTGCACCGCGAGCAATTACGGCAAACGGTAGAGGAATCTATTCCAAATGGTTTTCTCGAATGAAATAACAATTCTATCTCCTACACAGCTCCCTAGATCCCTAGATAGTCATCGCCGCTTATTCGTAATAAGTAGCATAACTATCGTACTGTGTATAAGAGAGAGCCTCGCGTTTATGGAGTGTCCCCCATCCAGATAACGACGTAGCTCGCGGTAAACCACTGGGACTCTCGTAAGGCCCCCTCCCCACTCCCCCCCCCCACTCCTCTTCCTCCATCCCGACTTCAGGGTCGTCTTTTACCTACGGTACGGGCCTCGCGATC